TATATATATATATATATATATATATATATATATATGTAATTTCCAGTAATAAATCAGTGTTTTGCTGCTATTTGTGGATATCATGCTTAGTAAAGTGGAGGGTCAGCAAAATAGTTGAAGGCCATCAGAGAGATGAATTAGCAAAGCGGCTGCAACAATGGGCTCATATATAGCAAAGATTGTGTGACTGGTGCAGGACTGTGTAGTGTTTTGTTCTGTTGTGCAAAGGTTCACTACAAGTCATAGCCAACTCAGTGGCACCTAACAAAAACATGTATTTGTATACTTATACCTATTTGTATATATTTACGTATACATTTGTATATATATGTATATATAATTGTTGTTGTTGTTGATGTTGTTAGGTGCTGTTGAGTTGGTTCTGATTCATGAACACCCTGTGTACACCAGGATGAACACTGCCCTGTCATACACCAGCCTCACAATGCTTGCTATGCTTGAGCCCATCGTTGTAGCCATTTTATAAATCCATTTCATTGAGGGTCTTCCCCTTTTTTCTGTGCCTCCACTTTAGTCAACGTGATATCCTACTCTAGGGAATGGTCTCTTCTGACAACATGACCAAAGTAGGTGAGATGAAGTCTGGCTGTTCTCGTTTCCATGGAGCATTTTGGTTGCTCTTCTTCCATGACTGATTTTTTCGTTTTTCTGACACTCCATGGCAATTTTTGTATTCTTCACCAACACCACAATTCAAAGGCACAGATTCTTCCTCAGGCTTCCTTATTCATTGTTCAGCTTTCATATGAATGTAAGGTTATTGGAAATAACATGTCTGGGATTTAGTGCATCCTAGTATTCAAAGTGACATCTTTGGTTCTTAACACTTTAAAGATGTCTTTTGCAGCATATTTTTTCCTGTGTAATATGACATCTGACTTCTTTACTGCTCCTTCCATAGGAGTGGATTGTGAATCCAAGTAAAATGAAATCCCTAACAACTTCAATCTTTTCTGTTTATCATGATGTTGCTTAATGCTCCGGTTGTGACGATTTTCATGCTGATGTGTAACACATACTGAAGACTGTAGTCTCTGATCTTCACCAGTCAGTGCTTCAAGTCCTCTTCAATTTCAGCATGCAAGAGTGTGTTGTCTTCACATTACAGGTTGTTACTGAGTCTTCCTTCAATCCTGATGCCATGTTCTTCTTCATACAGTCCAGCTTCTTAGATTATTTGCTCAACCTACAGATTGAATAAAACAAACTCACTGCCATCAAATCAATTCTGACTTATATCCTCATTGGATTTCTGAGGCAGTAAATCTGTACCTGATACTAATATAATTGTTTGATAAATTCTGCATTCTGTTGGGTCACCTTTCTTTGGAATGGGCTCAAATATGGATCTCTTCTAGTTTGTAGGTCAGCTAGCTGTATTCCAAATTACTTGACATAGATGAGTGAATGATTTCAGCACTGTGTTCTCTTTTTTGTACCATCTCAATTCCCAGTGCCTTGTTTTTCTCCAAAGCCTTTGATACAGTTTGGATTTTTTTCCTTCAGTGCAGTTGGTTCTTGATCACATACTACCTCTTAAAATGGTTGAACATCAACCCATCATTTGTGGACACTGACTCTGTGTATTTCTTTCATCTTCTTTTGATGTTTCCTTCATCTTTCAGTATTTTGCCCATAGAATCCTTCAATACTGCATCTCAAGGGTTAAATTATTTCTTCAGTCCTTTCAGCTTGAATCTGTTCCTTTTTTTAGTTTTCCAATTCTAGGTTTTGGCACATTTCATCATAATACTTGTCTTTATTCTCTGGAGCTACCTTTTGAAATCTTTGTCCAGTTACTTAATTTCGTAATTTCTTCCATTTCTTTTTCTTATGCTATATTGAAGAACAAGTTTCAGAATTTCTTCTAATATCCATTTTATCTTCTCTTTCTTTCCCATATTTTAATGAACTTTTG